GTATGGAATATCCCTTTGGCCAGTTTGGGTCAGCTGTCCTAGCTGTGTCTCCCCCCAGTTTCTTGTAAAGAAACAGCTGACAGGACAGGGGCAATAGGAGAAACTGAAAAAGTCCTTGGCTTAATGTAAGCATTGCTTAGCGAGAACTAAAACATCAATGTGTTATCAACATTATTCTCAGCAAACATCCAAAATACAGCCTCATACTATGAGGAAAAGTAACTCTATCCTAGTCAAAACTAGCACACAAGTCCAGAGCAATATGTACACTGATGTCCTCCTAGGGGAACCCATAGCTGGCACATCAGACCCTCTTTACAAAACCTCTAGTACCAAGTGCTCACTGTGGGGGTTTCAGCATCCCCTGTTGAAGCACCATTCAATGATCTAACCTGACCCAGAGTTGCCCATGCAGGCTGCTAAAAAAAAAAAGCACCATGCATTATCAAGGGTGTGTGCCTGCCCCCCTGCCCCCAGCACCCAAAAAATAACACTCATGACTTCTGCATTTTGAGTAAAACTGAAGCACAGATGTAACTGAGTGGACTTCAGACATCAACTTTCTCCTGCTGATGCTTGTGAAATGCAATCTAGCTCACATTCTCCAAGCTAAATTGACTCATGAGGATGTGAGGGGAAAAAAATGCACAGGTTTATATCTCAAAGTAAGTGATCTGATCAATCTAATACCAAAATTGCACTTGAAATTAGCTTCACGCAGAGATGCAAATGCACAAGTACCACTGTGCTGCCAGGAGGAGAGCTGTGGCTCTGCACATGAAAAAGTAGGAAGAGGCTAAGCTTGCTCCTATAGTCCTGTCCTGACTTCTCCAGTGGCCAATCTGGAATCGGAAACAAAGATTAAGAATCCAGCTGTACTTCTTAAATAGAAAGTTGTTGAAGCTCATACACCATATTCTGCTTCTTTTGGTGCCAATAGCAACCACGAAGGTTTTTACTGTAAGTAATTCCACTAAACAAAGCCTAATAAAGCATGAGGTGTTTCCTAAAACCATAGAGTCACAATCTGATTTGGGCTGGAAGGGATTTTAAAGACCATCTAGTTCTGAATCCCCTACATGGGCAGGAACACCTCCCACTAGACTGGAGTGTTCAAAGCCCCATCCAACTTGGTCTTGAACACTTCCAGGGTTGGGGCATCCTCAACTTCAGTGGCCAGCCTGTGCCAGTCTCACCACCCTCACAATGAAGAATTTTTTCCTAGTGTTTAACCTTAATCTACCATTTTTCAGTTTAAAATCATGACTGTTTCAAAGGAAAATCAGGGAACAATTGTCAGAAACAGAGGAACATCCAACTCAGGCATCTTTGGGATGGAAAGTTTTTACTTTTCACATAAAATATCTTTTTGCTCAAGATATCTTTTCAGGTTATAATAATAGAATTCCACAAAGAAATACAATGTTTGTTGACCTAAGATAGAAATCCTTTCTAAAATTTCCTTTCAAGACCATTAAAGCCTTTAGCCTCTGTTCCCATTCAGAATGAAGCCAGCTTTCTCAATCCTGATGAAACAGAACACTTGTCCTCAGCCCAGCTCAAGCAGTGAAAAGAGGGCAGAAGCCAGAATAGACACAAGTGACCTCCAAAGCTCCAAAAGAGGTGAAAACATAAGGGGAAAAAGCACCACCATAACAGTTCACTGTACATAATTAATAATACTGTACTTTCTTCCTGTTGCATAAGACATGAAATCTTTGTGAGAGAAAAGAGGGTAGCACATGACTAGGAGCCCTTTAAGTGTGACTTCTCTAAAGGAGAAGCTGGGCAGTTGTCCCACCTGACAGCAAGCAAATCATTTCATCTCTGTACACTTCAGTTTTCCATGCTATAAATCAAACTGACCGCCCTCAAAAAGTTTGGAGACTCTCAATTAGTTAATGTTCATAAATGACTGTGCAAACACAAGACAGTATTTACCAGGGAACTGCGTTTGTTATACTACTGTCAAACCACCAGAAGCTAAATTTCTCTCTGAACATTTACAAAAGGGAAGGCAGCATTAATGCTCCACGAGGAGAAAACTACAAAGAACAGATTTTCAGTGCATGCACTTCTCCTTGAAATAAACTGTGTTAAAAGCACTTTACTTAAAAAGCACAATGATAGTAGCATCCTGCTAAATATAGATGACTCACCACAATTTAGTAGTGAACATCCCTGAAGACTACCATTGCAGTATTGCTTAACTTGCTGCCTAAATATAAGCATTTTCACGTGGGTACAGTTTGGACCAAGACACTCAGGACTACTACCAGCATCTGCTGACCTTCACTGTGTCATAGTGTCTCTCTGAGCCTCACTTTGTCCATCTGTACTGTTAGCATAAAAATAAAACTCATCTCCCTAGTGAAGGCAGGATAAATTATTTCTAAGTTTCTAATTATTTGTTTATACCATACTTTGTGTATCCATATGGATACTGAGCAGCTAAATATAGCTATCCTCAAGGCACTCTGAGATCCTTCAGATAAGGGGATCTTAGAAAACTGCATTTTAGGCAATACTGAAGAAACAGATATAAAGAATCCATTTCCAAAATAAGGTAAGAATGCCCACTTTAGAGATGCAAGAAGTAGTTAATGCATCTGTGTCTACCACTAGGGACCAAGGTCAGGTTGTGAGCAAAATGATTTATCGACACATCACAAAACCACACAGCTTGACACAAATGGCAATCTGGTAAAAAAAAAAAACAAACAACAATAAAAAATGGAAGCACGGGACTGCCACAGTCCTCTCTTGCTGGAGCTGAGGATCTGGTGCAGCTGGGGAGGATGTGAGGGCTAGCACAAGGGCACTGCAAAGCCAGAACTTAAAGGCACATTTTCAGCTGTGATAACCTCAGACTGCCAGGAGGCAGGTGACTTTAGGTAAGGACTAGAGAAGCACACACACACCCCCTCTACCCTCATCTTGCAAGATCTGGTTGTAACAGACCGTAAGGCACTGACATCTGACCTGTTGCAATACTACGTCACAGGATCTAAACACCATGCAGTTAAAAAAAAACAAGCTGGTTCTGCAGTTTAGCTGTCCCCGACGTGATTTCTAACACTTTTGACAATTTGCAGTATGTTATTCCTGGCTAAGCAGCAGGATTTATTTGCAATTACAGGTTTGATTTCAAAGCTCTAAAGAGAATCCCCCTCTGTCCTTCCCTAAACTTCTCTAGGGTGTCTGAAAAATATTATTTTCACAAAAGTTTTTATGCTTAAAATGTTTTAGAGGGAAAACATAGATGCTGCCCCTGCCCCGGGAGCACTAAACATGGTTATTATAGGCCTAGAGAAAGCAAGCCAGTTAAAAAGAACCATTGCTATTCTACAGATTGCAAAGCAATGTAAGAAAATGAGATTCTAATACTTGATTGACTTTCCACTATAAAGTCTGACTGCATTTTATCATAGGCATGAAGCAGCAGAATGACAAAATTATCTCCAGGGACCATTTTCCCCCACCACTTTTCATTTGTTTGGCATTAAGTATTTCTTCTGATTATACACTCTTAGCTTCTGATCCTTTGACTTTTAAACCTTTCATTTAAGTATCACTTTGCATATGACCCTATAATTTTTCTTCTCTATGCTCTAAAGCCCCCAAAAGGATTAAAAAAAAATAATAAAATCACTCCTCCTAACCAGACTTGGCAACTCAGAGCAGATATACACTTACTGAAAAGTTTAGAAAACCTCCTAATTTTATTGCAGCTTTCATGAGAGCATGTCAGTTCCTTATAGCTTGCCAGGGTTTTCTTTCCAAATCCAAGAACCACTGAAAGTATGACCATACAGTGTAACACCAGAGTAACACCGTGCCACAGATATTTTCATCTACCACCATCTCTAAAGACTTTTCCCGAGACAAAAAAAAAACCAAACAACAACACACCACAAAACAAACTACACCAAAACAAAAACCCAACAACAAACCACATGCTTAAGACATAGGTGGTTCACTCAGGTAACCTTTAAGCCTTAAAGAAAAATGCAGGAAAAAAACATTACACTATTACAGATTACTTTGTGGAAAGATGTGCTTCTCTGCCTAGTTGTCTCCATTAAAAATTGAGTCAACCTTTTTTGCCTAAGGAGATAATTAAACGGCCCTTTAATTTTAAATCTGGTTACTGTTATATGTTTTTGCAGGGATATCACATCAACAGAAACACTCAACCACTTACATGCCTCTAAATGCAATAGGCACAGCTCATTTCTAGACAGTTACACCTTTGCAATGTCTGCAGACCAAAAATCCTGGCACTGAGAACCTGAAAGTCATTGAACTCACTTTCTGAACTAGGAGAAGTACAAAAAATGAACAAATAGAATGAAGTCTGAAACATCCGAGATTTTTTTTTTTTCCATTAAATGCTAACGAACCTTTTCCCCCCTATAAGTCGTTTTTTCAAGTCAGCAGGTGTAATTACCATTTAATGCATGTGACTCAGACTCCCAAATGTTTTCTGAGGATGGGGCTCAGGGTGTTTTTGGGTCTGAGGCATTTGTGAAAAGTTCATCTTGTCCATCACAAAGACTTGTTTCTCAGCACTCCTGTTCCTCAGAGGAACATCCTGCTGCACATCTCAGGGCAGTGAAAGCCAGGCACAGCTACCCAGTCAACATACTCCATCCAGATCCAGACTGCAAGGAGGTTTCATCCCAACATCGCTGAGACAACCCTGGTGTTACAGAATCATAGAATACGCTGAGCTGGAAGGGAACCATCAGGACTGTTGAGTCCAACTCCTGTCCCTGTGTAGGGCACCCCTAGAATCACACCATGTGCCTGAGCATTCTCTTGGGAGATCCTGTCATTTCTTACTGTCCTCCCACTCTCTCAGGGGTCCCTTGCAGCAGGATTCCCAGCAGCAGTGCCCAGCGGGCTCGGTGGGGCTGTGCACTGCCTGCTGCTAATCAGACCTCTGCAAAGCTACTCGGTGGACCTTTGCATAGACGAGCAGACATTACAGAATTTACCTGGCAGACCGCAGCAAAACGTAACGGGGCAGGCCTGCTCTGAAGTTCGGCGTGACTTGAAGGCAGGCACTGCCGCCCGATCAACAGATGAGTCTGACAACATCCCGCGCTCTGTAGTTTCTCCTGTTGCCCTTACGCAGCACCTCCTGGTGCTCTCCAGCAATGCACTAAGTGATGTGGTGAGTAGCACCTGTCACATGCAATTTCTTCCGTCTCCACACAGAGGACCGGGGGACGCACCTTCTTTCGGAAGGGCTTCTGGTGAAGCGGGTTGGGTCCCTCCACAGCCCCAGGGGTAATAAGCCCTTCTCTTAGGGCTGCAGGAGGACCGGGAGGATGAGGCAGAGGGAGGACCTCCGGGGGACAGAAAGCTCCAGGCAGCCTGTCACCATCTCTGCAGAAAGTTCCCTGCTGCCTCAGGGCCTGAAGGATGGACCAGAGTTTTCCACCCAGGTAAGCTTATCGAGGGGCTAGGCCCAGACAACTGAGCATCAGGGGAAGCCCAGGTTAAGGCAAGTTTTAGAGCACCGTAAGAAAAAAAAACAAATATAGAGTAATGTTAAGGTAATATAACAGTAGTAAGGAGGATGGTGCAGGGGAGGCAGCCAAAGGAGCCGGTCAGACCTGCGCTCCTTCCTCTCGCCTGCCTGCAAAAGCGCTTCACCCGCC